GGGGGGGGCGTGCTTGTGTTTCGCGTGCCTTAGTAGTTGGACCATTGCCACAAGGAGGCCTTTTTGCGGAGTTCTCGCCTTTGAAAGGGCGCGACATGCCGGCCCGCTTATTGCGGAACGCGTGCACGCTGAAAAACGTTCCTACGATACCTCTCTCGCGCGCGATTCGTGCATGTTTCTTTCTCTCTCTCTCCCCCTATCTCCCTCTCTCCGTCTCTTTCAATTTCTCCCTGCAGGTGCTGGTTTTCGTGTCGAGTAAGCAGGGGTGCGAAGACCTGTGCAAGTCTCTCAACAAGCACACATCCCTTCAGGCCGGGGCCATTCACGGGGACAGGGACCAGACAGATAGGCGAGAGGGGTTCCGCAGTATCGCTGTTGGCAGTAGCAGTAGCAGTAGCAGTGGAGCTACGGTGTTTTTTTGAGTAGGTGGCGGACTCGTGCTCACGCCGCACCGAAAAGAGTGTGGTTGGTTGTGGCAAAAGCGTAGCGTTTCCGTATACGTTCGGGAGCGGTCGCGGTACCTTTTGTGACAATGTCTATGAATTTGCTACTCTGTTGAAACCGAAAAAGAGTAACACGGTGCAGTACTCCACACCACCTCTTGAGCTGTGCTACATTGCTGAGTGATGTATGTCGTCTCGTAAGTCGGTACACGTGTGGAGTCTCACTCACCTCGCGCGCGTAACGCGTGTGATCAGTTTTTTTTTGTGTTAAATTGTGTGTGCGTTGCGTGTCTCTCTCTCCCCCGCCCTCGTGGCAACCTATTATCCTCGCGCTATCTACACCACTTCGCCAGGGAGAAGACGTTGAGGGCGTTCAAGCAAGGCGTGATGCCCATCCTGGTCGGCACAGACGTGGCGTCAAGGTTAGTCTTACTCACGTCAACCATGCCAAAAAAGCCCCACCGCCGCCCGCCCGGAAAGCGGCCGCCTGCCCAACACATGACATCGCCTGCTTTTCTCGTACTCTCGTCTGATGCGTCGGCGGGGGGGAGGTTAGAATGCCCGGAAGCAGCTCTTTACATTCCCCGTTGGCCTTAACTTGGTAGTTTGTACACATGAGAGCACGAGGGCTCGGTATCCGTATCAGTTGCTGTTGCTGTTACTGCACTGCTGTGGGTTCTGGGCCCAAAAGTCGTAGCGCAACGAAAGCTCGGTAGCCACGTAGTCCTTGGTGTCGTGGCCCAGAATTTAGTACGCAGGCCTACGATTTCTGGAGACCTTGTGGGACTGACAAGAGCGGGCCCTTCGCAGCGTGCCGGCGGCACTTCTTGGCGGTGCTGGCTAGCGATTCGTGCCCAATTGATTGTCGCGGCGGGTTTTGCCCGTTGAAGTGCCGCGTTCTGTCGGCGTGTTGAGTGGAAGAGAGAGCTTTTTTTTTTCGAGGTTTGTCGTGGTCTTCCCGGCTTGAGTGGGGGGCCCGGTTTCAGCGACCTCTGGTGTCATCGCGAAATGTGGCCGCTATTCAGGGAAGGTCGCTAAACCGAACTAGCAATTTTATGATAGCAGTTATTCTACCGGGTTGCAGAGGTGCTACGTGACTTTGTGGTAGCTACGCAGGGCATGTCGCTGAACAGGGGGTCGCGAAGCCGAGACCCCCACCTGTTGCATCCTGTTTTGGTTCGATATAGGGATCGTCTTATTTGTTTGTGATTGCCGGCGGGTTTCGTTTTCGCTACCGAGACAGCAGTAATGCCTTGCATCACTCTCTGACATGACACGGAAATGGTGCTAACTCGTCCGAACATTCAGGGGGCTGGACATCAAGAACGTCAACACCGTGGTGAATTACGACGTGGCCAAGAACATCGAGACACACATACACCGTGTTGGCCGAACTGGGCGGTAGGCTACAGATAGAGCGAGAGAGAGAGAGAGAGAGAGAGAGAGAGAGAGAGAGAGAGAGAGAGAGAGAGAGAGAGAGAGAGAGAGGGTGGGGGGGGAGGGAGATAGGGAGAGAAAAAGCGAGAAAGAGGGTGATCGAGAGAGGCAACAGAGAGAGACAAGACAAGAAAGGCAACTTTTCCGATCATCGTTTTGCGGTCGACTTGTGGAGAACACTTGTTGTGGAGAACACACATCAGATACACTCGGAGTTCGTTGCATGCAGAGATGCGACGCAGTTACCGCGCGTGCAATGATGTTACAATAACCCCAATTGCGCTCAAGGCATGGTTGAAGGCAGGGAAGGGTCCTTGCGCTGTCAAGACGAGACGTACGTAGTTTTTTTTCCTTCACCTTGTGCATGGAGGAGAAAAGTGATGGTGTGTCGTTGCGAGGGCACGTGTGCCGTCGAGGCGCTTCTTTGACGCATGTCGAAACCGTAGTCCAGGTGCCCTACAGCTGTAGTACGGCTGTGGCACCGTCAAGTCTCGATCTTCCGCCAGTGCTTTCGACGGTGCTACTGTACGCAGCGCCCATGTAAGCCCATTTCTGACCGTGGCTGTCGGTGTCTCCTCTTCCCTCTCTGACGTTGTGCGTTTTGTTCATGTGTCTTCTGCCCCTTTGGTGCACATTGTTCGCTGCGTTAGGATGGGCAAAGACGGCGTCCACCCGGGCACCGCCTACACCCTCGTAACTCCCAAGCAAGCTTCTTTCGCGGGGGACCTCGCTTACCATTTGGAGGTGAGAAAAAAGTAGAATCAGTATGTACCTCGCTTATCATTTGGAGGTGCGCAAGGAAAGAGACGCACCGCGGTTGTACGCTGCCTGGCTTGTCAGTTGGAGGTGAGAGAAACAAAAAAAAGAATCGCGTTCGGTTGTGTAGGCAGTCCTGTCGTCGGTCCACCCTCCGCCACCAGGCAAAGAGCAACACCCCGAGATTCACGTTCCGGTGTCCTAATGACATCGTGCATGTTCGTTTGCTGTTTGTGTTGGTCCCGATGAAATTGCTTGCCTGCCCAACATTCTGGCCCCTCCACCCCCCCTGCTTTGCATGACCTTTCCGCTCTTCGCAGTCCGCCAAGCAAGCCGTCCCTAAGGAGCTGGAGGCTTTGGCCAAGCAGGGGGGAGGGCGAAGAGGTGGCGGCGGTGGTGGCTTCGGCGAAGGAGGGGGCGGCGGCGGCGGCGGCGGCGGCGGGCGCGGTCGGCAAGGCGGAGGAATTGGGTAAAGATGCGGTGCCACCATGTGCACTTGTGTGTCCTTCTTCGTTTTCTTTTGTTGGAGAGGTCTGAACGGACAACCAATCGATTGTTTTTGCCCAGTCCGGGTTACACGATAGACGGTTCTTCCTGCTATCACGTTTTTTTTTTGTTATGGATGCCTGAATGGACACGTGTTCGGTTTGTTTTTGCCAACGCAGCAGTCCGGGTCACACCACGGGAAATGGTTCTTTTTGCTATTGTCGCGAAAAGGGTTCGGAACTTGACGCTGTCGCCAGTGCTAACACTTCACCGAACCGCACTCTTTCGGGTGGACCTAGCCGTCGACCATCCAAGCGTTACGAGGATGCTTTGGGACCGTATTGGTTGACGCTGTTCGTAAGTGCTGTGACTTCACCGAAACACACTTATTTTTTCAAGACGGCGTCACGGACCTGTACCTGTCGACCATCCAAACGTTTGAGACCGTAAGGGTAGCCCCGACGAGGAAAGTATTTGCACTCCTAACGTCTTCATTGGACCTTTTGAAGCCTGCCAACCACAAATGAGGTGGCGAGCCGGGATGCCGTGGACATGGAAAGAGCTGCAGCCCCCATGTAGTATGCATGGCGTTGTGAACCGCGTGCCCCCCTACCTTGGCCAGAAGGAACCATTGTAGCGGTGCTTGAAAGGGGTGCTCGCGGCTTCCACTTCTCTCTCCGTGGTCGCCCGTTAGCACGGGGGCAAGCAGGATTGACGCTGTCTCCTGTGCGTGCCATGTAGCCGTAACCTCGTCCTTCGTCCCACCCCCCAAATCCACGCACCGTGCTCACAACCGCGGTGGCGACGCACCGCTCGCTCCCCACCCCGCCCCTTGCTCGCTTAGGTTTGTCGCTGGAAAAGGCAACAAGAGCGGTAGCGGTGGCGGCGGCGGCGGCGGGAAGTTCGGCTCCCCGGCGGGCCCGGCGCTTACCTCCGCCGCCGCGGCAGCCGCAACCAAGGGGACCGCCGCCGCTCACATGCAGCTGCCGCCCTCTCTAAAGCTGATGGCAGCTAGCGTGGGAGGGGGGGCGACGGCGGCGGCGGCGGCGGGGGGATCCAGTAAAGGGAGGGTGCACAACCCGATAGAAGACGCGTACGATACCAAGGCGCCGTGGAGCCCGGGGTCTAAGCCGATGTCGGAGCCGGGCTCACCGGCCGCGGGAGCGGCGGCAGGGGGAGGTTCGAACGTGCGGCGCGGGTTGTGGTAAGCAAAGTTGGGTGTGTCTGCATTCATCGATGATGGCGCCAAAATGGCTGTCGAGTTGCGGGGCGTCTGTGCGTCCCGCGTTCCGCCCTTGCCGTAACCTTGCTTTGTCCTTGTTGGTGGTGAGAGGAGATTGGGGGTGGGGGGGAAGAAGCCTCGGCGGGACAGGAATCAACGTGGCGTGGTGTGCTGAAATTGCGCGAGTACGAAGATGGCGACGCTTGTGATGCTAGAGGGCGTTTCGAGGATCGTGTTTTTCGTCTAGTCTTTTGGGCAGCAGTGTTAACCCGTCGTTATCAAACGCTTGGGGAGATATTTTCCACAACCCCCCTTGCCTCCCTGCAAGCAATATGAGGTGCTCGTGTGTTCGTTTATCTGTCCTGTGCAGTAAGAATATGCGGTGACAAGTGTGGGTTGGGGGGTGTACTCAATAGTAGTGCATGCCGTAGTCTTTAGACCATTGACCTCATCCCTACAAAGCCGGGACGGAGCACGCCGGGTTCTCACCGGATCAGGTTCTCACATCACCAAGCGCGAAGCGCCGTGAGGTATTCGGCGAGTCGCATGAAGGGTGCGCTGCATCCTGCTAAGGGTGTTCGGCATCTTGTGCTTACTGCCTTGCGTACGGATGACAGCTGCCTATGACTTAATTTATTTTCTGGCGCTTCACTTCCGGAGACAGTTGTAAGCACTGTGTAACTGCCTCGAGGGTGCTTGACGAATTTAACACAACGTGGTGCGATCATTCCCCTTGCGCGAAGTGAGGGTTCTCGACCCCGCACAACATGACCTACTCGACCACCATTATGGTTACCACAAAAAAAAACAGAGGTAAAAAAACAAGAACGGTAACCTGGTTGCCGAGCTCANAACTGCCTCGAGGGTGCTTGACGAATTTAACACAACGTGGTGCGATCATTCCCCTTGCGCGAAGTGAGGGTTCTCGACCCCGCACAACANGGGGGGGGGGGGGGGAGTGTGGGTTGGGGGAGGGCTTATTGTAGTGAGGGTACTTTAGTATTTCGAAATAGTTAGGTTTTCGCGCGCCTGGGCCTGGTTTTCACCCACGGTGAACGTTCCGAGCGATGAATCAATCCAGGTTGTGACCGCTCGCGCAAGTCATGTCTTCGCCAGTGCTGCCCTCTCTGAAATAGGTTTTACTGTACCCTTATTGTGTACTCGTGGCAGGCATCCATAGTTGGAACCGCTTCTGCACGAGAGCTGGCTTGTCTTCGTCGCGACTCGTCAGACATTTACAAACAACTTTGATATTATCGCCCCTCTTGTTGAAGCCTTCCCCTTGTCGTTCTCTGTTGTCGTTACGTTTCTGCAGGGGCAGGGTTCTCCCGGCCGGCAAGCCGCCGGCGGCCCCGCAGTTTCCGCCTTTGCCCCCCCCGGCGCAGCAGCCGTGGCAGCAGCCGCCGTTGCCCCCGTCGGCACAACCCTCGCAGCCTCCTCTACCCCCGACACAGCCCCCCCTGCCACCTGGGCAGCCCCCTTTGCCTCCGGGGGCACCGGGGGCGGCAACGGGGGGCGGGGGGGGGCCTCCGAGGGCGAGAAAAAGCCGGTGGAGTTAGCGAGCTCCGTCCCTGGCAATGTTTTTTGCGGTGGTCGTTCAAGCTTGGTGTGGCATGTCCATCGGTTGTTTTGTCGAAACTTCTTTCTGTCCGGGAGACTTGCAATCGATTCTTGTTTCTGTTTGGCATGGATTGCTTGGAATAGTTGATTGGTAGTACGTGCTTTACTGCAACGTGTCTTCGTCTCTGTGGTCTGTTGTGTATTCGCACCTGATTATGTAGGGGAGTGGGCATGGGTTGCTCGAGGTCACATGGGTGATCTCTTTGGGAAGTTCTCGCGTTTCGGTTGGACGTTGATTACGTTGAGGATGTCCGGCATCAAAAAGGGTCTTGATTATCTGAGCTTTTGACCTTGTCTCCTTCTTTGTCTGATCGAGACTGGCTCGCTTCTCAGGCGCCCGTTTTGTATGAAATGGTGCCCACGGAATAGGGTTCGAATTGGAACACAATTCAATGGTAGTGGAAGGCGTGTTTGTTGCCACAACGAAATGGACCTTGTTGTTCACGCACACGCGTCGGCGCCGTAGCGTAAGGGCCAGTACGACGACCAACATCCACGATCCGGCTCGACCCTTGTCGCCACGAAAACACAACCATGCCAGCACATGTCGAATTGCTCTCGTTGTGTTCATGTTGAGTTTGTTCATTCATCATGGCCGTCCTTCTGGAGTCGGCGAGAGTGATACACGCCTGCTCAAACGCGTTGTCCAGGGCTTCCCGACCAAAAAACTGCAAGCCTTTCGTTGGAGAGGGGTCGCTTCTCCGTTGACCTTGTAAGACAACGATTCTTTCTGGACGGTTGGTCGTCGTTTCCCTCCCGGCGGAAGCGAAAACAGTGTTTTGAGGTTTAGCGCGCCTGGAGATTGTGAATTCTCTACAGCAGCGGGCCACCAACAAAGGTCGTGTTGTCGCTGCCCTGTCTGGGCGTGGTGTGGGAACTCACTCGGCAGTGCATTCCAACGGGACTGTAGGAAGTGGCTATGCAGATAGGAATTGATAGTCCCCTGGGTTGGTTTCATGGTTGACTCACGGGACTCGACCCTGCGGGAGTGCTTGCTGTGTCGTGGCACTCTCTCTCTCCCGCCGCGTCCTGATCGTGTCTGCTGTCCTAAATACAAGTGATACCATCATCTTCAACACACATACATGGGTATAGTAACAGGAGACAGCCAAGAGTGCTTGGGGGTTGACATCGAGAAGCTGTCGAACTACGTAAGGAAGTTTGGATGGAGGGTTTGCATGGCGAACATGATAGAAACAGAGAAGGTAAGGAGGCAAGAGGCGAGGGCGACGGAGGCGAAGAAAGGACCGAGCGGGGCAGGCGAGCAGGCAAGTCAGAAGAAGTCCGAGAAGGAGCGGAAGGCGAACGATAGAGTGCGCAAAATCTCCAATAAGGAAAAGCACAAGCTGAGAGTCGGGTCGTGGAACGTGTGCGGGTTCGCAAGGAGTGAGCGCAAGTGGTTGGAAATAGTGGACCAAGTAGAACAAAGCGATCTAGATGTAGTGGGGATCCAAGAGACGTGGGAATTGAAGGATGGGGACGTGGTAAGCAAACTAGGGAAATACCGGTGGGTAGGGAAGGCAAGAAAGGGCTTAGACCCGAAGAAAAGGGGGGAGGGGGGAGTCGGATTCCTGGTCAAGGAACACTTGTTTGACGTGGTGGAAGTAGTGGTGAAAACGGAGTTCGAGGAAAGCCTATGGCTTAAGATACCTGGGGAGCGGGGTGAGAAAGATTTGTTTCTAGGGAACGTATACGTCCCACCGTCGTCGAAGAAAGTCGCAAGCAAGGCGCAGGAGAACTTTGGACAAATTGGGGAAGATGTCCAGAGGTTCAGTAGGAAGGGAGAAGTTGTCATGGGCGATTTCAACTCCAAAGCAGGGAAAGCTTCCAGTAGAGGACAGGCGATCGGGCAGCACGGAGACGTCTCAGTACGTACGCGGCTCGTGTGTTGGTGTTGTTCCGCTTGGTTGGGGTCGCCGGGCATAGTATCCGTGGATTCGCGGCGGGCCCGTGTTGTCTACCACCTTCACCAGGGGCACCGACGTTAAGTGCACATTTCCATATTTGAACGGTTTCCCCGTGTCTCCGCAGTGAATGAATCACATGCATCCCCAACCAGCTTTTGTCCACGAGGCGTGTGTTCGTTGGTTGAGGTGTTCGCTTGGCTCTCTCACACGATGTAAGGCGCAAGGTTTACTTGCTCGGCGATACGACAAGAACAGTGCCGCAGCGTTCATCGGGCCGCTGTCATCGGAAAATGGCCCCAGATTTTCTGTAGCCCTTGACGCTCCGCGCAACACCAAAACGCCGAGAACGCCCAAGAAAAAATGAACCCATTAAGCCTGTGTTTTCCTGCTTTTCACAGCAGTCATCCCATCGCCATCGGTATTGCCGCTGGCTGGCCGGCCAAATCAAAGAAATGAATACACTTGATATCCACCACCTACATGGTGAGATAGTCAAGTGTTCCGATCTCTCCCTGCGATATGAAGCACTTGGGTGCTTTTCAAGTCGTATACGAGCACACGAGCACAAGTCAAAAACGACCATCAACTCAGCCGACCCTTCCCGTTTCAGGCGTTACGACACATATGGTTCGGTCCTTGCCTCAATATTTCCTACTGTTGGCAGTGGCTCATAGTCCGACATTGTTAACGTCAGTCAAGCTGCCATGATGTGCGCCAATACCTATCTACAGTTGGCCCGATTTGACTGCCGTTCTAGCCATGCGACCGACTACAAGGGACAACACGCACATGTGCACACGGCGCCGTCATCGTTGCTGCCCGACAGACCAGAGCGCGTACATCTTCTTGGCGCTACTACGGGTAGAAGTCCCGAAGTGCGCCCGACCGGCCGAGGTCCTGGTGGACGTGGGCTGGTTGCCCAGAGACGAGATCGGCGTTCCCCCGTGCGCTGATGGACGCAAGAGAAAAAGGACAGCAGTTCGTGGGAGACGCACGGGCGGGTGGAGTAGGAAGAAGCACAGGGGCGTCGGATGATGATGAGCGGGCAAATCGATGGGGTCGAATGAAAACAGTTGGTGAGGGTCGTACCGTTTGATGACGCAGCGGAAACCAATGTTACCGTCACAACGAGGAGGGGAAACGGGGGATCTCCACATGCAAGTGGTGATTGTGTCTGCGAAAGTGCTGGAATTCAATGCCAACAGTAAAGGAGAAATGAACTCGACTCGTTCAACGCTTGGGAACCCGAGTGGAAACATGATTGCCTGACTAGTGACCCAGCCCCACACCATATTTTGGCCGCTGGCTACCTTGTGGGGGAGAAGAGTGGTCTTGAGTACTGTCGCATCCTGTTATGTCAACGGGCTGAGAGGGAACAGACAAGAGTAAAGCGAACTCGTAAACTAAGCTATCTATTAGGATAACCGAAGCTGCCTCCCGCGCTTTCCCCGGGCATGTACTCGTTAACCCGAAAGAAACATGGTCGCGAATGCTTTACGTGTACACCGTGTTAGGTGGCATTAACCTGCTCTCACCTCTGAACTTGTCGCCAGGCACGTGCCACCTGTCCTGTCTCGTGAACACCGGCCTCCCCGCCGAGCGATAAACGTCTCTCGACAGGGCCTGCTGGCCCAGGCAGCTGAAAGTTCTCGGGCAGCGGAAGTCGCTGCCTCCCTTGTCGAAGGACACCTCCGGACGAGGCTTTTGACGCACGACCGTGGGCTGGAAGCGACCTGTAGTACGCGAGCGAGGCTTCTTCTTTAGTGAGTGGGAGTTGGTAGAGTGCAAACAGCAATGGATGCGTGTGTTTGTCGAACCAACTACGGAGAGTACATGAGTTTGGAGTGCGTCATCGTCGGTGGTTTGGCGTGTTGCTGACGCTCGCTTTGGATGTCGGCTTCGACACGCACCTACCGTTTTAAAAACTGCTACACGGCGATGTATTGTCGGCCACGTTTTGTGTAAAGGGGTCACAGGCGTCTCCGTCCAACTCTGGATGATCGGGGAGGCGCGTGGTACAGCGTACACAGGGCAAGCTTCGAAGTCCACGAGGTGGTTGTATTCTGCCAGTTTTCGCTGGACTGGTGTGTACATGACATGCCTCTCGTGGTCCAGACTGCTGGTGGCACTCACCCATGAACGGAGGCTCGACAGAGGTATGCACCCTGGAAGATGGTTGGCACAAGGACCGCGTGGTCTCCTTCAACGAGTTGGTGTCAGACATCGATTCGTATAGGGCGTCGTCTACCACGTTCGTTCTCCAGCAAGCTTTAGTCTATACGCTTGTTCTTCTGACGACCCGACACTTGCTGGGCACCTGCTGAACGACCTCTCTTGGTCAGAGGCAGTGATGGTGTTGATGGGGAGAAGGGATAGCTTGTAGCGTAGAAAGGAAGGGACAGGAAGCTGAGAGAACGAAGACCGGAGGAGGGAAAGTGAGAGAGAAGAGGAAGGAGGGAGGGAGGGAGGGAGGGAGGGAGGG